CAATTTATAATTATTTTAATCATCAAGAAGTTATCTTTTTATACCTCCTTATTTCGGGTTTGGAAATACAATTCCATTTATATTAGTTTCTTAGTTATACTTTGAATCGTCAAGAGTCTTTTACATGCTAAAGCTAACATTTTGCAATTTATATTATTCTAGTCGTGTGTGCGATAAAAAACTCATTTTGTTACGTCCAGTACAAGAATCTACTATCGAATTGATTAATGCAAGGTTCATTGAAGAAATTAACCACAATGGAATACCCTCTTAATGCTACATTGGGAGCTCGTATGAGCGCATATCTTTCTAGCTCAGAAGATTACCATAAACAAAGAAAGAGGCTCAATAAAAGGTTACTTAAATTGCGTCATGAATTGGATCTTATAACTCCAGATACCAAAGACTATAAGAAGAAAGAAAAAATATCCAAAATCTCATCAGAAGACTACGATAGAGATGAAAGATTTGGCTTGGTTTTACTTTTAACTGCGGAAAGAGATAGTTTATATTCCTCGGAAATTAAAAGTTTATTGGAAATTAGCAATGACAATGCTTCTTCTTACAGAAATCTTATGATAAGTAGGATTAAGAAGTCATTATCTAGTTCAAAAAAGTTATTAGATATCACTGCAAATGAAAAGGATGAATATAAGAAGGTTGAATATTACATCTATGCTGCCTTGATTCAAGGAAATCTATCTGTCAATAAAAAACAATGGCCACAAGCATTGAATGCATTTTCCATCGCTAAATGCGCTTTAGATTTCTTATATTCTCAAGAAGATAGTAAAATGGACGTTGACGAGGAACAGGAAGAATCTATTCAATTCAAAAAAACCTTGATTAGTGAAATTACTGAAACATTAGTAGATCCTTCGTTAGCGTTAGCTATTTCTCAAGATGATACTGCCTACTCCACTACAACTGATTTAAAAACTGTATCACGTAAGCATTGCCGTGATAACAAATTACCATATTTACAACCGGTTATCGAAATAATTGCTGGAATAGATCCTGAAGCTGTTTCAGAAGTGTCCTCATCAACTGAATTAATCAAGTCAGTCCAATGGAGAGATCACGAAGCAACTTTATATAATGATGAGCTCGCTTACAAAATCATGAAATTAACTAATGATGATGAAACAAATTGGAAAAACTTCAACGATGCTAATCAGTTTGATGTATTATTATCCGGATGGTCTGAGTTATTAGAAATTCACACAAATGATATGGACAAAAACAAAGATGAAGACGATCTTGAAAAGGTTCAAGACAGAGCCATTGTATTGACGTATATCAATTACAATTTATTGTTTACTAGATTGAAAAGAGATTTGTTGATCATTGATCAATTGTCATCTCAAGGTGATAATGCTTTTGCTTTAAAGAAATTAGAGTTTAATAAGGATATCATTAGATTATACGGTACAATAATTACCACTACTCAAGAAATAAAGGACTTGCCAGGTGTTTATAATGATGAGGATTTACACGAATCTTTAGATAATTTGGAGAAGTATTTCATCGCAAAAAAATCGACTGTCTTAGCTAGGTCGTTCGCTCTTAATAATAAGTTCCCAGAAGCATTGAAGATATTTGACCATGTGGATACTAGTTTATCGTCCTCGAGTGAGAAGTTCTATAAAATTGATGTATTTCCGTACGACGTTAGCAACAATGGTGAATTTGAAAAATTCAAAAAGCAATTACCTTCTCAAGTGCTTCAAGCTCAAATATTGGCACAATTCTCAGTTGACTTATCTAAGAATTTGAACCAGAGTAATTACGCCATTGAAAATATGAACAAATTTCCAGTTTCCAATGAAACTTTGGATAACATTGCCAATATTAACGAAGATTTTTCAATTGCTCCTGTTTTGAGTAAACCCGTTTTATTTGATATTGGGTTTAACTACATAAATTACGGTATGGGCCGCTCTTCGTCATATAATAACTCCAATTCCGCTGCTTCTGCTACATCAGATGCCACTAATGATAAAGAAGATCCTAATAAAAAGAAAAGTGGGTTTTTTGGTATTTTCGGCCGTAGCTAATAAATATTGTATTTAGTTCTATCAAATAAAAGAAAGAAATTACTTAAATACAAAGTATAAATAAAATACGCGAAACGACAATTTTTCGATCTACTTAAAACAAAATAGATCTTACAGACTTCTCTTCTTGTATTTCAGATTATAAAAGGCAAATGAAGAAAGAAGGAGGTGGTCTGATTTTAACTCTAACAGTCTGCATCTTGGGGCTTTATGCATCATTCCTTACATGGTCGGTTTTGCAAGAGAGGATTAGTACAAAACCGTATGGATCGAATCCAGATACAGGTAGTCCAGATTTTTTCAAGGCTCCGTTGGTGATAAATATTATACAAGCCTTATTTGCATCTATCGTTGGGCTTATATATTCCCTAGTTTCATCCCGCTCGAATCCATTAAGCATTTTTACCCAAAATGAAAAGCCCGTTGCGTTGAAATTCTTCAAATCGTTCGTTATAATATCGCTTACATCAAGTTTATCATCTCCTTTGGGTTACGAATCATTAAAACATGTTGATTATTTGGCATACTTGCTTGCAAAGTCATGTAAGTTAATTCCAGTAATGCTAGTTCATTTTGTGCTTTATCGTACTAAGTTTCCATTATACAAATGCGCTGTAGCAGGATCGGTTACACTTGGTGTGATAATATTCACATTATCTCATTCTTCAACAAAGAGCAAAGCTGATATTAGTGATGGAAAAACTGCCTTGGGCATGGCTCAATTAATAGGTTCCATGCTATTGGATGGGTTAACCAATTCTACCCAAGACCAGTTATTTAAATTGAAAGGGTCGACACCTAATAACAAACATACAAAGTTAACGGGGGCATACTTGATGTGTATCTTGAATGCATTCATTTTTATAAATACATTAGCTTATGCGCTCATTTTCAAATATCAGTCTGAAATTACATATACTGTCAACTTTGTCCATCATTACCCTCAAGTCATGATTAATATCTTGGAATTTGCAATTTTAGGTTCAGTAGGTCAAGTGTTTGTTTTTGTTATCTTAGAAAAGTTTGATTCCTTAATTCTTATCACTTCTACAGTTACCAGAAAAATGATTAGTATGATATTGAGTGTTGTCTTGTTTGGTCACCAATTAAACAGCTTACAATGGTGTGGCGTTGGATTAGTATTTGGCGGCATTGGGTACGAAGCGTTAGTTAAAATGAGTATGAAAAAGACTCCATCTACTAAGAAGAATCAATAAATATATATAGATCGGAAAATTATATAGATCAAGTATTATACAATATAGATATATTATGGAACGAAATGCGATGTAATCTAAATCTCAAATTCCAGCATGCGATAGTTATACGTTTTTATTATCGTACTACCATCAATGTTAATATCTCATCCACGGATAATGATCCGCCATACTCCTTGGATTATGTCTATAGAGTCATTTTGTTGTACATTGGCTACATTGTTTCCTAAGGTATTTTGCACATCAGTTTTAACATGGTCAGTATACGCTTTGATTGTACATGGATGTTATAACACCTTAATGACTACACAAGGAACGTCGATATTTGCTGTCGCCATTGGCTTAACAGGATTCATACTATACGTATTATGTTTATATACCTATTTTAAAGTGTTAAGTGCTGGACCAGGCTCGCCATCAGATTTTGAAGAATTAAGAATCCGTAATATTTTACTGTTGTCAAAACCGAAATATAATTCTGCCAACCCCTATGATACAAATGACAATATGAATACGTCAGCGTCACTTCTTGCAAATGCTGAGGGAGTTGACGATACTACAAGTGTTGAAACTGAGCAACCACCTTCTGAGTATATGACTTTGCATATGTTGAAGAATAATAAGTCGTCATACAGATATTGTACGAAATGCAGTGTATGGAAACCAGATAGATGTCACCATTGCTCTACATGTAACAGATGTATTTTAAGAATGGACCACCATTGTCCCTGGTTTGCTACATGCGTGGGGTTTTATAACCATAAATTCTTTGCACAGTTTCTTATTTACGTTACAGCATACTCAGGATTTGATTTCTTGGTAAGTATTTCGATTCTTTGGAAATTCTTTGCTGAAGAAAAATATAACGATCTGTATTTGTCGTTGAATTTAGTATTTTTGTTCGTGTTAAGCTTGGCATTTTTCATTACAGTGGGTGGATTTCTGGCCTTCCTGTTATATTTAGTTTTCAGAAATAAAACAACTATAGAGTTCCAGGAGAACAGATATAACTTCAAGAATGATAGGAACGGAAAAAGCTTCCAGTATGAATTTGATGGTTCGGGAAAAAAGAAGAAACTAGGAAATATTTTCGATTTGGGATGTGGGCGTAACTGGAAAAGCATAATGGGGCCAAGATGGTACTACTGGCTATTACCAATTACTGTTACAAATAAGTCTATTGATGCCCGATTAGAAAATGGCATAAACTTTGAAATTGATCATGATGTTTACGATAGATGGTGTTATAATGCGCAATTACAGGATCAGCTAAATCAACAATTAGCGGATTACAAAAACAGAATAAGGATGGAAAGGGAAGCAGCATAAACCACCTATACCAGTCCTCTTTTGAATGGTTTGGTTTGTACTATAGAATAAGTTATATACGCTTGATAATTATATATGTGTTCTTACATTTGAGTGCGGGTAACTTTTGCGTAAACCTTTAGACTTCTCAGGAAGTCTATAATGAACATTTCACTTAAAGTTGAATTACCAATTTATCTAACTGTTACATACTATATTAAAAGCAGACGGTAATCGTTCGTATAAGTAATCAAATAATTTTTCTTCCTGCTTATAATTTCAAATTAAGAACGTGAGAAAACAGAAAAGAAAGAGGGACTCAATATATATTTTTATCAACTTTTGAAATATAGAAACACGAGTGATTACAACAATGTATGTTCAATTACCATTGACGATTTGAAGGTCGATCCTACTCAAAAGAAGAGAGTAGCATATTTTTACGATGCTGATGTGGGAAACTATGCTTATGGTGCTGGGCATCCAATGAAGCCTCATCGTATAAGAATGGCACATTCTTTAATTATGAATTACGGATTATACAAAAAGATGGAAATTTATCGTGCAAAACCTGCCACCAAGCAAGAAATGTGTCAGTTTCATACTGATGAATATATTGACTTTTTGAGTCGTGTTTCTCCTGACAACTTAGACATGTTTGCTAAAGAGCAGATTAAATTCAATGTTGGTGATGATTGTCCAGTTTTTGACGGGCTATTTGAATATTGTGGTATTTCAGGGGGTGGTTCAATGGAAGGTGCTGCCAGATTAAATAGAGGAAAATGTGACATTGCTATTAATTATGCAGGTGGATTACATCATGCTAAAAAGTCGGAAGCTTCTGGGTTTTGTTACTTGAATGATATCGTATTAGGTATCATTGAATTACTAAGATACCACCCTAGAGTTTTGTATATTGATATTGATGTCCATCATGGTGATGGAGTGGAAGAGGCGTTCTATACAACAGATAGAGTCATGACTTGTTCTTTTCACAAGTACGGTGAATTTTTCCCTGGTACTGGTGAATTGAGAGATATTGGTGTTGGAAAAGGTAAATATCATGCTATTAATGTGCCCTTAAGAGATGGTATCGACGATGCTACATATAAATCCATTTTCGAACCAGTAATCAGTAAGGTTATGGAATGGTATCAACCTTCCGCCATTGTTTTACAATGTGGTGGAGATTCATTGAGTGGTGATAGATTAGGATGCTTCAATTTGTCAATGTCTGGTCATGCTAACTGTATTAATTTTGTCAAATCCTTCAACGTGCCAATGATGGTTGTTGGTGGTGGTGGTTATACAATGAGAAACGTTGCTAGAACTTGGTCTTTCGAAGCGGGTTTGTTGAACAACGTGGTATTACCAAGTGAATTGCCATATAATGAATACTATGAGTATTATGGTCCTGACTACAAATTGGATGTCAGACCATCCAATATGTACAATGCAAATTCTCCTGAATTTTTAAATAAAATATTAACTAATATTTTGACTAATTTGGAAAATACTAAGCACGCACCATCTGTTCAAATGAATTACGTTCCTAATGATGCTGAAGACTTGGGTGATGTCGATGAGGATACACAAGAGGCTATAGACACCAAGGGCGGTTCTCAACAAGCTAGAGATGAAATAACTCAACCGGATAATGAATTCTATGAAGAAGAAGATAAAGATATTGGTAGTAAGGACATCCAGGATTTCAGTAAGTCTGAATCTGCGTCTGAATCTGCGTCTGAATCTAAACCTACCGAATTAGAAACTACAGCCAATTCTGAAAAACAAGAAAAATCTAATGAAGATGAAAAAATGCTCACTGATGAAGAATTGAAAGAGATAAACGAGTTAAACTCAAACGAGAATAATGCTTGATCGCTTCACCTTTTTTTTTTTTATTACTGAAGCATTTGTAGATAGGCCGCCGTAGGCCTTATGTAAATTAAGTCCAATTTTTTTTGTAATTAATAATAAAACACGAAAATAGATGAACAAATTGTAGTAAATTGCAGGTACGTAATAGTTATATCTTATCAACAGATGATCACATGACCTTTATAAAACGATACTAAGTATTAAATTTTTAAAGAGGTTATTCTAATATATATATTTCAATACAATAATTAACAGTCATACGTGCTTGAAGTTGTTATAATAAGTGTATTTTTGAGTAAACGAATTTTGACGAGAAATTAATTTTTCAAGGTAAGATAAACAGAGTTCACACAACTTAAGATAATTTTGTTGACTATGATCAAGCCATGGAAAATACCACAGTGTTCATTCATTGCCAATCAAGTACGAATGGCTCATAGAGGACAATTGAATTTTTCAAGAAATATTTCGTCTACTTCAATGAAAAGAAGTGACATAGTAATGAGTAACGACCTTATAACAGTTAAATCATGCAAAGCATTACGGAACAGCACATTTCCAGAATTTGTTCGTTCTCCAAACTCCCAGCTAAGCAATATAATTTGGAACACACCTTTGGAGAATATTTATGTTGTCAAAAAGCCGTGGAACCAAGATGTTCGAGATGCGACGGTAAGATTCATAACTCACATTCACGATAATTACCCTTCAGTTAATGTCATTGTTAGTGAAGACGTCGCCGATGAAATAATACACGAAACTAATACCGGAGGTTCAGTCACTAACATCTTGACAAAGCAGAGCCCCAAGTTTTCTCTGGATTCCAAATATGTCATCTACACAGGTGAGTTATCTGAAATTGTCAACAAGACTGATTTGATAGTAACATTAGGAGGCGATGGAACAATTTTAAGGGCTGTAAGTACATTTCTGAATGCTAATGTTCCACCGGTATTGAGTTTCGCATTGGGGACATTAGGATTTTTGTTGCCGTTTGACTTCAGAACATTTAGTGAATCGTTTCGTATGGTATATGAGTCAAGAGCTAAGGCTTTGCATAGACACAGATTGGAGTGCCATGTTGTACGGAAGTCTCTAAATGACTCCACTGACACACCCATAACTGACACTACACCCATTAAGAATATCAGACGATCCGAGTCGGGAACCTCCACCCAGGAAAAAGTAACCACTATGTTGCATGCTATGAACGATATTTCCTTGCACAGAGGCAGCCAGCCAAATCTTATCTCATTAGATATATACATAGATAACGAATTCTTGACTACCACTACAGGTGATGGACTCGTGTTTTCTACTCCAACAGGCTCTACTGCTTATTCATTATCTGCTGGAGGGTCAATCACCCACCCATTAGTCCCTTGCATAATACTCACTCCAATCTGCCCAAGATCATTGTCGTTCAGACCGTTGATTCTACCTGCATCATCCCATATCATGATCAAGTTGTCCGACAAGAATAGAAATGCATCGATAAAATTGAACATAGATGGAATACTGCAGCAGGATTTGCAGCCAGGTGATCAAATACATGTGGCAGGAGAGAATGATACTGCTCTTCCAAGAAACTCGCATTCAGACGCTGTTTCAGGCTCCGCAACCGAAAAGGATAAAAATGACTCTACTGATTCTACACCTTCAAGTAAGCAAGATCTTTGTCAAAAGGGTATATGGTGTGTGGCCCGGAGCGAGAATGACTGGACCAAAGATATTAACGAGTTGCTAGGCTTCAACTCTTCATTCAAGGCTCTGAAACTGAAGCTATAGACTCTATCATTGTCGTACACTTCTCCATTTCCACAGTTGCCTAAACCCTTCCTTCATCATATTCTAAACGTTTTGCCGTAGAGAAGGCTCAAGAGTCGCCCCGAGTCGAGTCACGTGCTAAAACAGTTAGCGGCGAATATTTTTTTGTGTGCCAGAACATCACTCCGGCTATTCTCGAAGCGCACGTCACGAAATCGCTCATTGATAAAATTCTCCCACTAGCTTTGTTATCGCTTCTGCCAGCGTAGCAATTAAAACATTATACATCCTTCTACATATACATAGTTATCTAATATGTATGATATATATATATCATTTTGTATGCAATATTCTGTACGATACGATACATGAATTCGATATGTCAATTATAATAAATTGGTCATATGGTTTACATAGACAACCCGTAATTTATTCTATGGCAAATAATTTTATGCACCCCCTGTTTTAGCGTATATACGAAAACCTTAAGAATCACATACAAAATACGGGTAAACCCAGTGATTTTAAGCCGCAAAAACAGGGGGTGCGAAAAGGATGAATTTTTTTCCACATAAATCGTACGTCTTGGTGAATTTTGTACTTCTTTTGCCAGAACTAGTTTATTTTTCCATAATTAGATGGCAAAACCATAAAAACAACCAACTATTAACTTATAAGCCAGTTTGAAACCACATAGGTAGTAACTAGCGTATCAGATACAAGATTGAAAGTATTTGAGCATTGTATAGGTATTTTTGCCTCGGTTATAATTAGAAACGTATTTTAACGTTGGACATAAACATTTCAACACAATTAGGAGTGAAAATTTTTGTGATTTTATTTTGAAGAATTTGGTTAATTATCATACCACAACAATAAGAGAGCAAACAATAGGGCAATATGGCAACGAGTATTCCCGTACAAATGGCCATGAGCAATAATGGTCACAAACAAGCCAATGGATCGATGCCAGTTCTGTCACCCCAGCCTATGGCACCCCCTACTAATCCGTCGAATATTTTAATGGAGACTACGGCAGGAACATGGCTTGCGATTGGATCCTTGGCAGAGAGTTTGGGAGACGTTGAGAAGGCGTTGGCTTCTTACGACTCTGCTTTGAGACACTCACCTAACAACCCGGAGATCTTAACTAAGTTGGCCAACATGTATAGGTCTAAGGATGTCTTTTTCAAGGCCGCAGAGTTGTACGAACAAGCTTTGAACTTCCATCCAGAGAATGGTGAAACTTGGGGGTTATTAGGACACTGTTACTTGATGTTGGATGATTTGCAAAGGGCATATGCGGCGTATCAAAGAGCCTTATATTACTTGGACAATCCAAACGTTCCTAAGTTATGGCACGGAATTGGTATTTTATACGACAGGTATGGTTCATTAGAATATGCGGAAGAGGCCTTTGTTCGGGTTTTAGAATTGGACCCTAACTTCGACAAATCCAATGAAATTTATTTTAGATTGGGGATTATTTATAAACATCAAGGTAAATTACAATCTGCCCTTGAGTGCTTCCAGTATATCTTAAGTAACCCACCACATCCATTAACACAACCGGACGTCTGGTTCCAAATTGGTTCCGTATTGGAACAGCAAAAGGATTGGAATGGGGCCAAAGAAGCTTACGAAAAGGTGTTGCAAGTAAACCCTCAACATGCAAAGGTGTTACAACAATTAGGTTGTTTGTACTCCCAAGCAGAATCTACCCCATCAGGAAGCTCAAATCAACAACCTTTCCAACAAGACTTAAATATTGCTTTAAAGTACTTATTACAATCTTTGGAGATAGACCAATCCGATGCCCACTCATGGTACTACCTTGGTAGAGTTCATATGATAAGAGGGGATTTCAATGCTGCTTATGAGGCTTTCCAACAGGCAGTCAACAGGGACTCCAGAAACCCTACATTTTGGTGTTCGATTGGTGTTTTGTATTATCAAATTTCGCAATATAGAGATGCTTTAGATGCTTACACTAGAGCTATCAGATTGAACCCTTACATTAGTGAGGTTTGGTACGATTTAGGAACATTGTATGAGACCTGTAACAATCAAATCAGTGATGCGTTAGACGCATACAGACAGGCCGAGAGATTAGATCCAAGTAATCCTCATATTAAGGCGAGATTGGATCAATTGATCAAATACCAACAAGACGGTAATACCCAACCACCTCAGCCACCACCAGTTAGTCAACAACCGAAATTGCCACAGGGAATGATTTTGGAAAGCACCCAAATGCAACAACAAGGTCCTCAACAACCACAATTATTACCAGGACACCCACCACCACCCCCACAACAACAATCACAATTACATCAGCAACCACCCCTTTTACAACCTCATCAACAGGGGCCTCCTCCTCCACACTCACTCCCACAACCACCTCAAATCTCTCAACCCAACCAACCGGCAGTTTCACCAATTCCTCCTGTGCATCAGCCTCCTGGAATCTCACAATCAAACTCACAATCATCATACCTCCCAAGTATTCCCCAACCACCATCGCAAGTCCAATCTTCTACGAATACACCAAATCAAACAAGCGTTAAGCCACCATCACCACCACCACAATCGAATTTACCTCCCCCTCAAAATTCTCCTCCACAAAAGAGTGTTTCGATTCCTCCAATTCAGCAAAATAATGGTACGAAGCGTGATTTAGAAGATAAAAAGGATACTAAGGTTACGAAGAAACAATCGAAGAAGAGTGCAAAGTCACAGCAGAATAGCCCTTTAAACTCCTTGGCTAACGCTGCAAACAATGCAAGCTCCGCAAAACCTGAGACACCAAAGGCAGATGAACGTGAAGTGAAGTCTACCAAACAAAGTCCAAAATCTGACAAGGAAAGCTCAAAGTCTAAGACAGAAGTACCTCAGTTTTCTTCTAACGTGACGGGTAAAAAGGAAGACGAAGAAGAAGAGCCTGAAGAAAAGAAGCCTTGGGAACCAGTTGAGCCACCTTTAAGAAAAGTCGATGAGGATGAAAATTACGATGATGATTAAGGCTTAATTTTTATTTTTTTGACTGCTATGGTTTTATATGATTTAAGTTTCTCTTAAATATTAAGATGTACAAATAAATTTTAATACTATATTTAAACTATAAATATTCACTCAACATATCTCCCCGGGAATCGTTGAGCAGATTCGTCTTCATCTTCTGTAATCCAGTTGTTGTCGTCATTGACATTTGCATTAGTATTGCCATCACTGTGCTGGTCATTGGTATTATCATGTCTCTCCACGTCAATGCATAAAACTGACATTTTCGATATTTGTTCAGCCTTCTTTCTACTTAAATATAAGTTTACGCAATCTTTAATGAAAACGATAGCAACCAAGCCAATTATATTTCCCAATAATATTAATTGATCCTTTGGAATGTCTGCAAATTTCTTTGTTTGTAAAAGTTTAAATATCATGCTGCCCAATTTGGAACTGGCGATAGGCCATAAAGCTGTTGTTACAAATCTCATTGTAATTGATTTATATAAAAATGCAGTCGAGTAGTCATTATTAATGCATGCTTTAGTTTCATGCAACCACGACAAAATCTTAAGTTTAGAATATGACAATTGTAGATTGGAATTGAAGCAACGTTCGTAATATAATAATTTCTTTTTGATAAACTTGGATAACGTGGTTATAAATGAATAAGAACATTTTGACTTGAATTCTTTCTCCACTTGATCATCAACTGCATCTCTGAAACTTTTGAATTTAAATTCTAATTTTCCGATATTGGCACCAATTTCTTCTAACTCATCTAATTCAGATGCATTTAACGAATTTGCTATATCACGAGGCCTTATACTCATAGCAACTTTGAAATGGAGTCTATTTAAAGTTATTCTAAAGAATAAATCGTACACCCACCTCAAAGGTACTACCATAGATATCATGTTATTTGCCTTCCACAAGTTAATACCATTTAAAATCCCCAAACCCTGAGATATAGACCTTGGGTTCTGCAAAATTCTCAGAACCAGATTTTGAAGGTTTCTAGTTATGGACTTGATTAATTCATGATTACCTAAAGATGAAATATACCCACTTATCATAAATTCGGTAAGCCAGTTGTTAAAAGAACTATCCTTTGAAGTACCTAGCAAACAGTCCATGATTGAAGATGAACGCATCCGGTAGAGTACTATTGGCAAGACAGGAATACGGGAAAACTTTAATGGATCAATCAATCCTTTCGACAATGCTTGTTCTAAATTATCAATTGCATAATTATTAACATTTCCAAACAAAACTTGAGATAGTGAAGCATTTGGTAATGCTGTTTCAGATGACGAGTTTCTAGTTAATATCTTCAATAGCAAAGGCGTTGGAATTAAAGAATCCATCATTTTCAAACCAAGAGATGTCAATCCAATGTAGCCCATGGAGACGACTCCAGTAACAGCAGAAGTAATTCCAATAAAGAGACCACCGTAAGTAATACTCCGTGTTATAAGAGTCCTTGTAGCAGTTGTAAATGTCAAGAACAAAGACCTTCTCATACTGAACACTATATCATCTTTACACTGGGGACATGGGGCCAATAAGAGCACCACAAACCCATTCGATGAGTTATGTGAATGATTCGTCGATAGGTTCTCTGTAGTAACACCACCACTCAAACTAGATGCTATGTTTGTAATCCATTCGTTTAATTGTTGCGAAGATATATTGATGTGAATTCTTGTTTCCTGGTGAGGTTGACCGACTCCAAAACTTTCATCATGATTATGCGAATGGGGTCTTCTCACTGATCCCTCTGTAAGGGTCAGAGCGTTAACTACTTGTAACTTATCAGAAGATAATGAATTGAACCAGTCAAGTAGGCATTTTCTATGAGCAGTCAATGAACAAGTTGAACATGGATGGACCAAATCTTCTGCATCACGCAAACTTCCAAAGGGTGGAATATCAGTTTCACCTCCTAGACAAAAGCTGCAAATATCTACACCTGTTGACATGACAAAATCAGCTAATAGCGTATTACTGTTATCTGATAAAGAATAGAAATGATAATATAGTTCAAATGAATGATAACGTTTTCACAGGCAGAAAATGCTGCGATTTTTTACAGAATGCGCCTACTATCTCATACTTAACTACGTAGACACCATATATTGCCATAAATAAAGTTCAAAACTAGTTATATATCATCATCTAAAGTATATTCGTAACAGCATTAAAGTGATTTTGCAAGATTAATACCAACTGCCAAATGGTACAATCTTGCATCCACAACGCAACCTTCATCTTTGACCAAACGATGCAATTCCGCAAGCAAGTCTTCAACTGGGACATAAAAAGAATCAATGAATTCGCCTTCTTCTAATTGAGCTTTTGGATCGACGTTCTCAGGCTTTGTCAAGTCCACATCAACATAGGCAATTGCCATGTTTGCATTAGTTAATCCTGGATCACTCACCAAATCCGCCAAAGAGTCTGTCAGATGGTTGAAAGTACTGTGATAACCAGTCTCTTCGATCAATTCACGAACAGCGGTACTTTCAACACTCTCATTTGGGTCGACCAATCCTGCTGGTAATTCAATAACAACTGCACCAACTGGTGGTCTGAATTGCTTGGTCAATACAATCTCCTTCTTCTTATCTGGATGGTTGAGCAAGGCTACTATAGCCACACCATCAATGTTTGTAGTTTCCGAACGGGTTGTCCTAATGGCCATTTCCCATACCCTATCGTTACCCCTTGGATCTTTGTAATTCAATTTACGAGTCTGAATCCATTTTCCTTGTTCAAGGGGCTCTACTGAGACTAATTTAGCGTCATATGGTGATCCTTTTGTGTTTTTTGGCATATTTTTCGTAGTATTGTGGAATGGATGTCTTGAGTATTGATGCACACCAAAAGACGATTTCGTGAGATTTCTGATATTGGATTTTGAATATTGAGTGAGTCTATACAAAGTCATTTCACAGAAGAATATAACAGATAGGTGTAGAGGACTTTATACCTATATATATATTATATCCTTATTTAAACAAGAGCTTCGTGCACAGTAGGGGGTTGCTAGTAATATTGCTATTTCAAGATGACACAACAACAGGATGAACTAGATCAAATAAAATCACAAATTCAAGAACATCTCATATCATCCGGAAACTACGATATAATAAATAAGCAGTTGAAATTGCAACTCTATGAATCTGGATGGTTCGATAAGGTGACCCAGTTGGCTAACCGTGAACTACAAGAAAACCTGGCTCAGGACACATCTGTCAGCTTCGATCAATTATTTTCCTTTGTGAAGCCTAAAGCCGAAGAGATGGTCCCCTCAAACGTAAAAGAGGATGTGTTGGAGAGATTAAAAGCATATTTAGATGATGTTATTCAATGATTTTTGAGGCTTATAAGTTGAAGCTTATTTGAAGCGTCATAAATGTCAAGTAATTGTCGACAAGACTGTTTAAAATACGTCTTGGATGAGATTGCCACACGAGCGAAAACTCTCCACTATACTACATGCATATATATATATCATTATTACAGGCAATATAATAAAAAATGTACAAACAAACATTCGTAAAGTAGCTGCTGTCTGCTGTAGGACATTGCCAATATACCCAAGACCACCATATTGATTCAAAGACCAAGTCAAATGTAACGTTGCATCAATGTCGTATTATGTCGTATTTTCTGAATTTGAAAAAAATGTCGTATCCAATCAATAACGATTTTTTGTTGCTGATATTTCTGACTATCACAAAATTAAACCATCAAAAAAGTTCTTAGTCTTCCTACTTTAACAGATAGTAAACATAGCAAACACATTACAAATACATATTCCTATAAGATGTATTCATTAGCTAGAAGATCTATATTAAGTGTTGGCAGAAATCAATCCATGAAGTTGATTCCATATGGAGCTGTCCGTTCTATTTCCTCGAAGGATTTAACACCAAAGCCATTGGCCACGGACTTCCCGTTGATGTCAGAAAAGACAGCTTCAGCACCAGTTGATTATGCGTTGACCTCGTTGGATACCATTGCTAACTGGGCCAGAAAATCGTCATTTTGGCCGGTCACTTTCGGTTTAGCATGTTGTGCCGTCGAAATGATGCATGTTTCCACTCCAAGATACGATCAAGATAGATTGGGTATTATTTTTAGAGCATCCCCTCGTCAATCCGATATTATGATTGTCGCCGGTACCGTCACCAACAAGATGGCTCCAGCTTTGAGACAAGTTTATGATCAAATGGCTGACCCAAGATGGGTTATTTCAATGGGTTCATGTGCCAACGGTGGTGGTTACTACCATTACTCTTACTCGGTCGTCAGAGGGTGCGACAGACTTGTCCCAGTCGATGTCTATGTTCCTGGCTGTCCACCAACTGCCGAAGCCTTGATGTACGGTGTTTTCCAATTACAAAAGAAAATGATGAAGACTAGAATCACCAGATTATGGTACAGAAGTTAAGCTCCTCACCTTTCCATTCCCCCCGATTATCGCTTGTTTACGAGCAATCATTATAAATATCATAGTACCTTTTTCCGGATCTTCCCCATCTACAAAATCATAATAATTATATACTATTTTTCAAATGATTCAAATGACTATGCAATGATTTTTCGCTCTCATTTATGTTCCATAATTTGATTGCCTAAGAACCATGTTTTAATCAATGCTAAACATCATCCATTTGCTGGTTCCCATTTGATTCGACCTTCCGTTACTTCTATTTATAATTTTTATTGCATTGTATTTTAGACTCTACATACGTTTAAATATCACTTCTTATGGTAACCTCACGTGTAGATTTTTGGCTTGGGCTTCCTTACCGTTTATCAAAAAACCACCCTTCCAACCGCGCAATATGATTGGCTGGATTTACTAGGTGAATGTGTTTCTCAATATTCGGATATTTGCGCAATCATCCTAAGCGTCAGTAAAACTTTGCCACTTTTAGTAAGATGAGACCTTCACCCCCTTTTTGGAGATTTAATGTAAATTTTCTTTTTATCTTCTTTAGACCTTTATTTATCTTGTAATTAAATATAAGTATATATCATAATGGCAAGAACAAAGCAAACAGCTAGAAAGTCTACAGGTGGTAAGGCCCCAAGAAAACAACTTGCTTCCAAAGCCGCCAGAAAATCGGCACCAGTTAGTGGTGGTGTTAAGAAACCACACAGATATAAGCCAGGTACTGTTGCTTTAAGAGAAATTAGAAGATTCCAAAAGTCCACAGAATTATTGATCAGAAAGTTACCATTCCAAAGATTGGTTAGAGAAATCGCTCAAGATTTCAAATCTGATTTGAGATTCCAGTCATCTGCTATCGGTGCATTGCAGGAAGCCGTGGAAGCTTACTTGGTTTCTTTATTCGAAGACACCAATTTGTGTGCCATTCACGCCAAGAGAGTTACTATCCAAAAGAAGGATATCCAATTAGCTAGAAGATTGAGAGGTGAAAGATCGTAGATTGAAAATGCAGAAGGTTATACTGGGATTTTAATTTTTAGTTTTCTTTCGGGTCATTTGGTTTCTTCGCTTCAGATGAGTTTAGTTTTAGTTTTTATAGGTAAGACTCGTAGGAGTCGTTTTTAGTGTTTAAATATTAAGGGTATGTTTAATTTTTTGAAAATGTAGACTGTAGCGTAAATTAATTGCGTCTGTGGAACACTAATTAAAATATGTGCGACTAAACAGAAATGGAAAGCCTATAATAAATTAGTCTAGAGCTAAAAAGTGAAATATTGAACTATATAATAACAAAATTATGCGATAACATTGGAGGGGAAGTGAAATAAACGAAGTGTTCAAGAAAAAACAAAAGTGTGGTATATAAAATTGCTGTTAAAAACAAACATGGTGCTCTGAGAAATTCAATCATCATTATCATTTTTATTATCATTATCATCTTTCTTAGAATTATCTGTACTATCATCATTAGCAGCTTGATCATCATGAGGTGGGTATCTTGCTGGAGGGTTAAGCTGCTGAGGTGGAATAAACTGTTGGTATTGAAGATCATGCATTGGAAATCCTCCATTGAACATGGGCTGCATCATAAACCTGTGGTCTCCTTGATAGGCCATGAAATTTTCTGAATTAACATTCACATCCTTATTCTCACCACTCAAATTCATATGAGCCATTGAATCAGCCAATTCATCTTGTCCTTGTTGTGAGCCAGGAGGTGGAACGCTATAATCTGAAGCTGGAACACCCATATAAAATGGAGGTGCTGGTGCCATTCCATGCTCTCTTCCATAATTTTCATTCGAAGGTTTTTCATTTGAATCAACGTCAGATTTGTCAAATGAAGCATCATTTTCTTCGCTTGAAGTCTGGTAATTTTGCATGGTTGGAGGATTAGGACTATGCATACTTCCATGTGCTTGCATAGGCATATGCGGAGGAAGACCCATCGGTGGCATTCCTCTCATCATCGGCATGCCAGCATTTTGAGAATGCCCGTGTGCTCCATGCATCGGAGGTGGGTATCCACCCGCAGCAGCAGCAGCAGCAGCAGCAGCTGCAATAGCACTAGCTGGATCCATTCCCATAGACAATGCGGTCGCAGCTTGCATTTGAGCAGCTTGAGCTACTTGTTGCTGCTGTTGCTGGTATTTCTTATTGTTCATGGAAACCCTGCCCCAACTTAATCTAACTCTATTGCCTCCAATAATAAATCCTTGCATGGCAGCAATAGCCTCTTCAGCCTCTTCACGAGAGGAATATTTAATGAAACCGCAATTCTTTCCAGGTGGAATTTTCACTTGCTGAATTATACCAAATGGTTTAAAAAGTGTAAATAAAGTTTGTTCAGTAACTTCAGATGATAAACCACCAACAAACACTGTAGTATTATTAGGGTCAGTAAAAGGCTGGCCATGTTGAACGCCCTGTAAGTTTGGAGATCTAAGTTGTTCAACATTAGGCTGACCATTTGAAGAAGTATTCTGATCACGATCTTCAATATATTCTTTTGTAGGCGGCATATCCATAGGTGACATATCCATATGTGGCATATGATTTGGATATGATTGTGGAGGTGCCTGATGAGGATGATGTGGAGGAGGAGGCATTTGTGGGTTACCAAAGAATCCGAAGGGAGAACCACCCAATGGCATAGCATTAGGTGGAATAAACATTTGTCTTCCCTGGTCAGGATTATAGAAATTAGGACTAGGGATATTAGGATAACGAAGTTTTCCTCCTACGTTTCTTGGGGTAGCTAAGGCAACCCTCAATGGCCTTCCACCGAACCAAGCACCATGCATCTCTACCAAGGCTCGTTGTCTTTCCAGCTCATCTGTGAATCTAACAAACCCAAAGCACCTTGATTTACCAGAAACAGGATCTGTCATCACTCGTACTGTTTTGATCGATGTTGGAAAGCTTTTTTGGAAAAATGCCAATAAATGTGCCTCTGTAGTGGAAGCAGATAAATCACCAACAAACAATGAATATTCAGGAGTCTGAACAATGGGAGCACTCAACGTTGCACCGCTAGCCCAATTAAGTCTGAAATATTTCTTTTGGTTATCTGGATTATTGGGGAATTGTTGTTGAGATGGCATAGCTATGTCTGGTAATAGTTGTCCATTTAAACCTAATGCTTGCTGAGCATCATCAAAAGTTTCAAATTCAACAAAACAATAACCAGAATGTGATAGTCCTTGTGCATTATTCTCAGGTTTAGAAGTTTTAGGTTTTATAATTTTAACGTTGACTCTCTTATGCAATATCTGCCACCATAGATCTGCTATCGCACCTTCATCTAGCCATGGGTCTAGGTCACCCATCCATAATGTACGCGGAGAGTCAGGTTGGCCTGTATTGGACCCTTGTTCTTTTTCAGCAGCCACACTCGATTGCTGTGTAGACACGGGTGGCCTAGGAATAGCAAATCCTGAAAGCATCTCCTGTTCTTGCTGATGCTGATGACTAGCGGTATTCGATGTTACCGTGGACTGTTCTAATGGTGCAGAAGTACCATGCAAGTTAGACTGGATATTAGAGTTGGCAACTGAGGACTTATTAGGCCCTGTACTTTCCGAATCAACCCCTGCAGATGAATCACGTCCCGTATCAGCATTTTTTGAATATTCTCCTTTATTGGATTGTAAAAACGACATATTGATAAACCTTATTTAACACCGAAATCAAACGAAAAATATGAAAAGCAAGCCGAAGATCAATGAAATGAAGTACTATAGAATCAATCAATATTTGATGCAAGAATTATGACACCCACTATCAATAATTAAATAGGGTGGTTGTATGAGCTAATCTTGCTTTGAAACGAACTTTTTTAAACGGTTAACACTAAAAACTCCAATTCCTATGAAAAGTCGATAAAGAATGCAAAGGAAATTGAAATGAGTAACCTTAAGAAACAAAAGAATCTAAATATGTATCAAAATAAAACCCGATATTCAAACAATTGATGCTTTAAAAAAACCAGTAACCTTCTATTAAGTTGTAATTGAGCAAGGTTGAACAATTGCAATGAGTTAAATCAAAATAAAAAACTTTAAGATTAAATCACTATAATAAAAAATTAGCTTGGAAAGATAAAGTTAAACTAATTGATTCAAGAATTAGGTTTATATCAACTTAATGCTTTGAAAATTGGTTGCCGACAATTCTTTGTTGCATCAGTTAACTAATTTAATATAATCTACAAGAATACCTAAACTGTAAATTAGTTTGATTTACAAGTTGAGAGTTTTGTTTTGATCTGCAAAAATAAACAATAGATCTATCAGCGGTTATTCTAGTAATTGAAGTACAATTAATAATCTTGGAGTAATTAAGTCTAGAGGATATACTTATTAGATTTGTGAGTCATGAGTAGGTTTGTACTGGATACTTCTACTTCTCAAAGCTCTACAGCGAGGAATATTCGCAGATTCATTAGAGATACAGAGCTCAGTGATCATAGGTCAAATAGAGATACTTCTACGCTACCATCTACTACGAACCAGTCCAAAGAACCTGAAGATAAATATCTGACGAATGAGAGTTTCGAACCGTCGTTTCATTTTATTAATAAGAGTTTAATGGATCAAATCAATAAATCAGATCATATAGATAAGAGCCAATTATCAGACCAGATAGGACCCGTGAACATCTCGAAGAGTCAGAATGAGAATGGCAAGGAAAATATAGGGGGAAAGCCTGAAAATGAAGAGAATCAACCGAATAACGATGATAACGAGCAAAATAACGGCAATAATTCGTATCAGAATAAATTGAAATATTTGCCCAATTCTGATTTCAAATATGATACCAACAACTCGTATAGCATGAATTCGATGAATTCGCCTATTTCGATACCGAATACATTCAAATATAAATCACATCCTAATGCAAAAACCAAGTCCCAATTAGGTGCTTCTCAACTTACTCTTCCAGAAGAGGAGGAGCATTCTTTTCATAACCTTACTAAGAATCGAGATAGTTCCCAGCACGATACTAATACACCACCCATAAAAACTTCCACTATAAGACACGAAAATGAACAAGAGCAAGACCTTAATTCCTTAAATAATGCGGATTTTAATGCTACTCCTGATTGGATGCCAGAAGAACTAGTCGATAAATGGATACCAGCGAAGTCTTTTGAATTACAAAACCATGAAAACTTAGAGCAGCCAGATTTTGGATCGTCGGTAAGAATAACAAAGCAAACTGATACGAATAGGGATTTGGGCATGAACCTCCAGATGTTATCTACTAATACCATGATCCACAATTCAAAGCCCACGGCGAATGAGACCCCCATGTGGAAAAAAGCGTCAAAGGAATATGAGTTGAATAGAAATTCACAACCTCAATTGCATAATATTTTCCTTTCGATAGACAGTCTGAAAGATGAAGGCACAAACATAGATAAATTAGTATATGGCATCCCTGAAGCGCAACCTGAAAGGGAACATGAATCTGAACCAAACAGTAATTCGATCTCATCTACCTTATCAACTCCCATGGCCTCTATATCAAATAAGAGTGGTACAGCGTTAACAAAAGACCAAATAATTCAGTTGGAGAATATATTAGAAGGAGAAGGTAAAGGTAAGCCTAATGATTTCTTCTTGCACGTTCCAAATCCCGAATCTCCTTTGAAATTATTTGGAGATAAATATAATACTTTCACCAAGGGAAAATTAACTGATCTTCTACAAAAGATTAATACAAAGACTCCCTCCTCCGCAAAAGCATCAAAGCAAAGTACTGGAATGAAGAAAGATAAATATGGTGAAGCTGTACCGGAGTCTTCAAACCCACTTCAAGAGCCTCAGTTAAAAATTAAGAATTTTACAAAATCTGGAACTTACACTGAAGAGCAATTTCTTCAGAATGCAAATAATATATTCAATAATATTCAAAAGAGGGGCTTTAAGATGAATCAAGATATCACACATGATTTGAGCCATGCTGGTGGCAGACAACGTTCACTGTCATCTGCTGTAAATTCTCAATCTACAGCTACTTCAACACCTAAAAATATTAAGGTTAATGATATTGATAAAATTATGTCCGAGGATGAATATTCATCTTTTACAAGTGGTTTTGAAGAACAGGAAAGTACAGAATTTCCTCAATACAATACTGAAGGAGGCCATGACGGGACTCAACAAAACGAATATACTTCGTTTGATCAAAGCAACTCTGTAAAAGATAACGAAAACGCCAGTTACACGAATTTATCTCCGCGCAACTTACAAGCTTTACAAAGGGAATTGTCTCACTCGAACGAAAGTATGTATACAATCGATGAAGCATATACAGAAGATAAAATTCCGAATGAAGATTCCATTAAAGAACCAAGCCTAAATAAAGGTGAAAAATCAGATGGAAATGCTCATGAAGTTAAATATTTTGCCAGCAGACTAGAAGAATTGGAGAAAATGATGAAAAATCTTAATATAGATGCATACCAGGCTGATATTAAAAGATTGGAAATAGAAAACACCCGATTAAAGCATGAATTAAAAAGAAGAAGTGGAAGCGAAAATCATGGAAACGGTTGTGAAGTAGTCATTGACGATATTGATTTGACTAATGAAGACTTGAGTCAAATGCAAGATTTTATTAAGTGGAAACGTGCATCTGAATTACGCTTGCAAAATAATAATTCTTTGAATGGTTCTCCGACACTGAAGGTGAAAGAAAAGATTGGAAATCAACTTCCATTCATTAGAGGTAGAGTAGAGCCAGGAATTGATTTACCCATAGAATACGATAATATGATTCTTGATACAAAGAACCAGAAATGGATAGCAAATGACAAAGAAAATGAATATCACGGTAGTTTAGATTCAATCGAAGACTTATTGTCACGGTCAGAGGAAGATGATCAGAGAATAGATAATGCAGGTAGTATTCTATCAGAGAGTAAACTATCCACGAAAAATGTTCGTAAAAGAAATAATGATAGTAAATTGGAGGTTTCGTTCAATTTGCCTAATGCGACAGATGAAATGGATGAAACGAATCACGAACATGAAAGCAAATCCTCTTCTTTGAATAATGTTACGCATGTGTCTCAAATTAACGATATCACTTTTTCACAAACGAAGAAGAAATTAGTTGCTGTTATAACTGATGTTTTATCAGTAGGGCAAAATTTTAGATCAATTAACTGGGGGAAAGTGACAAATATAGCTATTTGTGGTTATCAGTTGGACAGTATAAAAGATCTTAATAAGTTTCTTCCTAGATTGAATAATGTGGACCTCTCAGATAATAGCATTAAATTTTTAGATGGGCTTCCCTCGAGGGTTCTAAATTTGAATGTCTCTCATAATGACATTGGACATATGACATCTTTCAACAGGTATCATGACTTGCAGCATTTGAACATTTCGTTTAACAACATGACCAATCTTTCAAATATGACTAACAATATTCATTTAACAGAGTTGATCGCCCCTAATAATCGATTGGTATCAATCGATGGTATCAAAAAATTGGAAAATTTGATAAAAATTGACGTCTCTCAGAATGACTTGATGGGAGAAATAAATTTCTCTAGCTTTAAACTACTGAACTTACAAGAGCTAAATATCTCAGAGAATAGCATTCAGTCATTAAATGGGTTAGAGTGTTTGCCAAGCTTGAGAATATTAAACGCAAATGAGAATCAAATCACAAATATCTCATGTATGGGGAAACATCACCACTTAAAGAAAATGCTTCTTAAACTAAACAACTTGCAAAGATTAAATTTAGAACCATATCCATTCTTAAGGTGCTTAAGGATTGATGGGAATAACCTAAATGTGGTCACTAATTTTAGCAAATTGAAATATTTGGAAGAGATCTCTTGCAAATCTCAAAATAACTCTGAAGTGATAAAGCATATGCTAAATGGATCTAGAGATGTACAGAAGTTAGATCTATCTGGAAATTTTCACTTTAACTTTTTCCCTGACTCAAATATTAACACATTAAATCATAACATGAATTATAATCCTTTCTTGAATTTAAATGTTTTAGTGCTCTCAGCAATGAACCTTTCTAAGCTTCCGACTGATTTTGCTTCTTTATTTCCAAATATCAGAGAATTAAACTTAAACTTCAATAATTTAAGTAATATTTCAGCTTTATCAAAAATGAGAAACATTAGGCGATTATATATGGTAAGTAATAATGTGAGGGAAATAGGAAGTGTCGTTGAGAGCTTAAATGGTGTGAGGAATACCTTGAGAGTATTAGATTTGAGATTAAATCCTATTAATATTTCCGTTTATCCTTATGTTTTTAATCCCCAGGAGCTAGACTATTTACAAGTGGAAATAGGAAATAAAACCGAGGGAGCTCCGATACAATTAGAAACACTAGATGATATAGAAAGCTTCGCCATCCACTATGAATCATTGACAAGGAATCATGAAGATTGGTCTGAAAGAGACTCTAAGTTTCTTTCTCATTTAAGATCTGATACAAATCTGGAAAGAGCCAAACATAGACATAATTATGAAACTTTATTGATAAACTTTTTCAATCACTTAAAAAAGCTAGATGGTGGCTTGATCACATACGAAAAAAGAACTTCCTTAGTAAAGAGGTCTCAATTAGAAGTAGAATAGGAATTAATTAGTCATAAATTGCATAGTTAAATATATATATAAGATCTATACAAAAATCACTCAATTGTATATGAATTGATCACGTACACTGTTAAATGTATTTAAAAATCCTTATTCAGGATTTTTGTTACTGCTTTTACCAGGCTTAGATTATTGATCAGTGGTTAAAACCACCTAACCAATTCTAGCAATCTCTTATTAAATATGTTCGGACAACAAAAAACTACACAGATCATTGTTCCTGAATGTTAAAGTTAAGAGTAATGTACTTTCAATAATTTGACAGGCTTCAGCAATAAAATTCTGTGGTTATTGCCTAATTAGGTAAGCGATCAAACAATCAATTTTTGTTCGATCTTACACTTTTCATTTCTTCATCGCATCTACTACAGGAATATCCTTTAATCAATCAATTTAATTAATAGTTGGATATTCAAATATTAAATTAGTCTAATCAAAGAATGTCAGGTGAAAGTTGGTATGTAATGGACCTTTTTTTCCTAGTTTATGGATACGTAACTGGGTCATATTTCCGCTTTGAAAGACTAGAATGTCATTTTTCAGAACTTTAAAATACTAACTTCAAAATAGGTTATTTATTTTAGCCGTTGTTGTTAATGCAGTTAACTTGTTTGCTCAAGTTTTCTTTACTATCATGTATTCTGATTTAGAGTGTGATTATATTAATCCAATTGAATTATGTAACAAATTAAATCCATGGTTTATTCCAGAAGCTGGTTTGCATGCTTTCATTACTGCATTATTCTTAGTTAACGGATACTGGTTTGTCTTTTTATTGAATTTGCCATTGCTTGCATTTAACGTTAATAAATTTTTGAATAAGAACCACTTGTTAGATGCCACAGAAATTTTCAGAACATTGTCTAAACATAAGAAAGAATCATTTATCAAATTAGGTTTCCATTTATTGATGTTCTTCTTCTTCTTATACAGAATGATTATGGCTTTAATTGCTGATGATAGCTAAGTAGGTTAGACGAATGATATTTTGCAGCAAGAAGTTCAAATTATCGAAACAGCCTATACTTATTCATGAAGCATTATAGAATTGAATAACTTTAATAATAATCACATTCAACTTCTGCATAAACAAGCTGTACTCTTTTACTTTATATTGTTTTATTATTTCAGTTTTTATCTATTTCTACTACTCGTCTTTAATATTTATATATTTATAATATGTAATTAAATTCTATTTATATACGTTTGATTACTATTATGAAAGCTCGCTCTCAATCTTGCTTAACTTTTTATTAATTAAGATCAATTTTTTGAACATGCCAGAGTTCGGATTGACTACTTTACTTAAGGAAAATATTTCTTTGTCAATCGTCTCTTTATTTTTGTTGATTTGCTCAGACTTTTCTGAAGAATCAAGATTTCCTGCTTTATATCCATCTACTGTACTAGATAAAAATTGTAATTTATTTGCCATTTTATTAAAAGTTTTGAATTTTGTTCTCTCGTCCTGATAATTGCCTCTCATTTTGTTCAATTCTGAACCTACATTCATATGACTTTTCTTCAACTCAAATATTCTATTTCTTAGTTCTGTTTTTTTTTTTTGAATCTCATTTATCTCTAGTGACATATCATGTATGTTAGCATGAGCGTCAAACAAGTAGCCTAAGTGGTGTAAAACATGATTCTTAAACTCATTATGGATCAATGATTCGTTTACTATCTGAGAGTCTGAATTTGTTGGGTTGAAATTTTCGATTAAATGCTTGAGCACATCCAAAGTATTTACTCTTAATCGTCTGTCTCGATTCTGATTTGTTATTATACGCTCAGTGTTGATATACATTGGTTTCTGGGTTTCGTTGGGTCTCATCTTTACAAGCGAAACCGGCTTTTTGTTTTCATGAATAATTGATCTTGAAGCTTTGCGCTTACGATGAGTTGGTTTGGAACTTGTCTTGTCATCAGGTTCTTTCTCAATTCTATAGCTAGGAATATCTTTCTTGTGTATTCTTGCTGATCTTCTGGGGGTTTCAACCAAGTTATCTTCGACACGAGAAGTCTCCTCTGTGCCTTTTCGTGGTCTCCCTCTCTTCCGTTTTATTTTAGGTGCAGCTTCAATTTCATCATCTTTGACAATCTTTCTAGGCCTACCTCTCCCTCTTTTAACTGGTTTCTCTTTGTTTTCTTCGTGATATACTGGCTCAGGATTAGTATGAGATGTGTTATGTTCATGAAAATCACTTTCGAAGTCATCTCCATCTTGGAAATCATTTGGGGTATCTTCGTTTGCTTGTTGAATTGTATCCTCTTCTTGACCAAAATCTTGGTTCTTTTCAATCTTAATACTCCTTGAAAGTGGCTTTCGGTTACTATGCATGGGGGCCGAATCTAACTGGCCTATGGGCAAAACATGCGTGTTTTCATCATTATCAGGCAGTGGATGGTCTATATTCATATCATTTGAACTTTCAGGATACATTGACGTACGACTTCTAAACCTAGGCAAGTCTTTAATGTCTTCATTATCTATAAGTGCAGATTTCAAGTTGTTTGACTCTCTTTCAATTGATATCTTTCTTCCAGTTTTAGATATAGTTGGGACGATCTTTAGCGTGTCTACCTGTACATTTCTCTTTCTAAAAACATAAATATTAGTTACTTGGTCTCCATAATATCGTTTATCATTAAAACATACCCTGGCCCTCTCTTTCTAAACTCCTTTTTGGCAAGCCTATCTTCGTTAGACATTATTAATGGCCTCTTTCGTAGTATATGTATGTATTTATTTTGATAAGAAGAATAATACAGTGCAACAGATAATTCGCACTAACTTGATAACATCCGAACATACATTCTCTCTACAAATAACAATATTAAAATAGTAAAAAATTATATTAACCATTCACTATCTTGGTTTTTTTAAGATGCACAATAAACTATACAATATATAAAATAATATTAAAAATTATCAAATAATTTATTGTTGGGAGAAGTGTTCCAATAAAATGTTTCTTTCATCGGAATCGTTACCCCAGTTCTTGACAACAACACAAGAAGCACCAACGACCTTTCTGGCGTTACCTTCTCTGTCTAATTGACATAAACCAGCCCATTCACCTAATAATTTGGCGTCAGAGACCTTGATCAATGGGATCTTTTCTTCTGGTTCGTTACATAAAGCTTCAACTAACTTAATAATAGATTCTTCGGTAACAGAGTCACATAAGACACATAATTGAGCTTCACCTCTAGATAAAGCCTTAGAGGCTTCTCTTAAACCTCTAGCTAAACCATCGTGAACTAAGGAAGTTCTTAAGACAACTTTTAAAGCATCCTCGATGGAAATAGAGCCGGATTCTTGTTGTTCAACGGCAACTTCTTCGACAACTGGTTGTTCTTCAACGTCAGACATATTTGATATAATTAGACTTCTTCGACAGGGATTTTCTGCTCAGTAAAGAACAAGAAGAACTATTATAAATGGTGCGCTTCGAAATTTTTCAGTATTGAGGTTAGCGCATGAACGGTATAAAAAAAAAAATCGAAAATTACACAAAGCTGTTCAAATCTTACTCGGGGCTTGAACCCTAATATACCAGGTAATGTGGTGTATATGACCACTTCAATGCAGTGAATATAGGGTATGTGGTGTCTAGCCTTTAACTAATGGGATAATATCATATATATGTATATATAGTACACGTTGTTTTCGTATTAGACATTAGTCGATTAATTTTCAAGCGTATAAATAAATAAGTCCAGGATATAGAAATATGGCAAATTTAGTGTTATATTAAATATCAAGAGTGAACAAGATAGTGTCAACTAAGTTGGGCCAGTAACGATGAAAACGGAATAGCCTAGCTAGGAAAACTCTTTATATAGGAAGGAAAAATGGATGAAAATTCATAATTCCATTTCGTCGGCACCGAATGGTTCATGATGACCTTCATCACTATCAAGCACACTGTCCAACATAGGTGAATCCATGTTGCTGGTTGTGCTGGCACCTTGAGCAGTTTTGGAATTGGTGCTTGGTGCTTGACGGTTGTTGTAATCGTCGTCTTCGTCTTCGAAATCGACATCGAAGAAGTCCTCATCAGAACCTGTAATTCTAGAGAAAATCAGTTTACATTCGCCAACAATTCCATCGTAACTGATTTCAGATGATGGCATGTTTGAGAAAATGATGTCTTCCGCATCTCTGATGGTGGTAGCGGAAACATTATTCTCTGGGTTTGGCGCTATGACATTGGATAAGTCAGGCTTTACAAAAGTCTTTTGGACATACCCAAGCTTGCAAACAATTTCTAATTTCTCTTGAGGAACGAAGTTTTGCAACGACTCCCCTAATTTAAAGGAATTGACCAATACAGGGGTACCTTGAGCACTTAAGACGAAATCCTTATCATCTAAAACTTCATCTAAATTATTAGACGATTCACGCAATATAGCCGACTCCATCTTTTCATGGGCACATTCCAAGTCTTGCTTTGCTTTATTCAAGTCCTGCTCGTTACTATGAGAGAACCAAACCGCTTGTCCTTCAGGACATACACCAGAACCTCCATTCTGTATTATAACTTGAACACTTTGTTGATTGTTTGATGGTAAAGAGTTAGGAGGGAATACAACAATTGCTGAGGTTTCTTGTTCTGACATCCACTCCTTGCAATCATTTTTCACAATAGTAACTAATCTCGTCACATTATAAGGCTTTAAGTTTTCTGTTATTTCATTATAACTTTTCTGCAAAAACTTCGGCATTTGAGTTGGTGATACAATCACCTTTTCGTTTATTTTGATATTACTACCATCATTGAACTTTGCAATTTTCAGCTGCGGATCATAATCAACTAAAGTAGTGTTTAGCTTATAAGTTGTACCAGCAACTGCAGCACTACGACAAAATCCTTGTGAGATTTCACCGGGACCACCATATTTCAGGACCATCACCGGAAAATTACCATAAACATCAAATGAGACCAAAAATCTCTTAATTCTAGTCAACGCCTCTGGTGTTTTCGTTGATGTCTTAGTGCATAATCCAATCGAATAAACTAACTCATTAATTTGAGGTGTTGCAAGATTGAAATTCTTAGTTAAAAACTCACCAATCGGAACGTTAGTATTATCGTGTATAATGCTTTTCTTATTCTCATCATTATTATCTTGTAAAACAAACTTTAAAAATTTCATAAGATATCTCTTGGTCACCAAAGATAACGACTGATCTGTGAAGATATCTTCTTTTGTAGTATTTGAAAGTTTCTTATTAAAGTTATCGTTTTCGAAAACATGAAAGTTACTTAAACTTTGAAATTCCAAGTACTTATAAACCCGGGATTTTATTAAGAGGGATAACAAGTCTGATTGGGCAAACATAATCTTAGGAGTCAAGTCAATACCATAATCCTTACTGTGGAATTGATCTTTGAGTTTTCCTCCAGGCATATAAAATTGTGCATCTTGGAAATGTTGAATCTTCCCTTGATTAACTTCCATACACCATTTCTTCAATTGATCTATCGTTAATGTCGAAGTCAGATCACCATAGTGATGTTTATTATCGATATGCAATATTTCAACACCTTGCCACGATAATGCCGCTGCCAATATACTCTCCACCAAACCTGTACCCATAATCAACACGTCACAATGGTCCATTTTCAAGCTGTGTTCTTGCGGCTTTTCTAACCCTGCTAAATGTGGGATAACAGGAGCAATATATGGCACACTAGGTCTTCTTTCTGCTACTGATTTTCGTCTTTCCGATCTATTGAATGAACTCATGATACCTTATCTCTTTCACGGATGAATCAATAATTAGACACCTTAACTCTATATAGCTATCCAAATTCCAATAAATCCTGCTTCTGTTTATCTTTTTCACTTGTAGAATCAATTGGGTCCCACAAATGACTTACGTTTTCTTCTCGTTACTCTTCCGATAATTCTTCGAGATAATTGAGGCAAATTCTGATAATCACTGAAACAATCGAGTAGAAATAAATAATTTAAACAACTGACTGTTACCGTGATAGGAATATAATTAAATATATCTGTTTTCAAGAATAAACTTACTTGGTTTTACGACTAATGATATAATAAATAAAAATTCTTATTAGAACAATCGTCGACTCCAAATTACACCCACGCACAGTTAAACGGTGTAATTTTTTTACAGACATTTACCGCGTACGCCATATCTTCTCACTAGAAATATCAATTTCCGGCAAGCAATAATGTTTCTACAAACAATGACGTAGACTGATCACATAGATTATAAAACTACATTCGATAATATTTCCATCTGTCAGTCTTGTTTCCTACAAAACATGATTCTAGTGGTGTGGATATTCTGGATTCCACAGCTATGGCAATTAAGAGCTAATAGTCATAAAGCCGATTATACCCGTTTGAGGTATTCTTCCGGCAAACCAAAATCTCTTCTAGGAGAAATTAGTGCGTTTATGGGACCCTCTGCAGTATGGCGCCTGTAACGATTTAAAACAATAGCGGGGGTATACCCAGTACTATCGATGACCTCTTGTGGTTGCCGCGGCCGTTAGCGGTAGCCAAAGGCAATTAGGGGGAGAAGGAATACTTCTGTCACTAATTGTCTATAATAACACGTGCAATAGTGTTAGCGGTCCAACGAGACATTGTTAGGTACACTATCACTCTTCACTCTCGCAGCCAGGACAAGTTTTATGATGCAACCGGTCCAAACGTTTTCATTATTTTTGGCATATTTTGACACTTCGTAACAATAAAATGGGGTTAGATGCACAAGCGAAACCTAGTGGATCGTTGCTCTTAGCGTGGCAAGTAAAAGACAAACATTGTCTAGTAATTGGGGGTGGAGATGTTGCATTAAGCAGAATACACCATTTGATTCGAGCACAAGCAAAGATCACAGTAATTGGCGGAACTAGCGAGAAAGGTATAAACGCAGGAATTTTGCAGTTAAATAAAGAAGGACATATATATAAGTTGTTGGAGAGGGACTATGAATCATCAGATTTGACCATGTACGAAAAGAGCAAACTTGATCTTGGAGGAGAAAAATTGTTTATTCATGATTTGATTAGTAGCAAGCATTATGCTGAAATCGACCAACAGGTGAAGAACGAGGTTTTTGCTAATGTGTGCTGTTGTATAGATGACTACGAGTTGTCTACTAAAATATACTATCAGTGTAAGTTTTTGAGATTGCCGGTCAACATAGCTGATAAACCTCCGCTATGCGATTTTTATTTTGGAAGCATGTTTAACCAGGATAATTTGCAGATAATGATTTCTACCAACGGGAAATCGCCGAGACTCCTGAAGCTTATCAAGGATAACATTGCTAAGCAATTTGAAGGCATTGATTTGAACAAGGCAGTTGAGAATTTGGGGTTGATAAGATCAAGATTAAGAGAGACGATTGTTATTGATGATGATTTAGTAAGTATTGATACCAGAATGACATGGATTAAGAAATTGACTGATTTCTTTACCCTCAAACAATGGAGTGACTTAGAGTTAGTACATGGAAACAATGATAGATTTGAGAGAGTAGATAAGATTATCAAGTACTTCCCAGAGTATCCTCCTCAAGATTACGATAGTTTCAAGCTAGCTTTATATAATTAATATCTTTAGCATAATCAATTTTGTATATTAGATTGCATTTACAAATCTACATTGGTATCTAAGTCTTCGTGAACGAAAACCTTTTTACCGCCACCACCTACGTAGTCCGCAACAATATGTCCATCACCTCTCAATTGGTATTGATAACTCATCAATCCTTCTAATCCAACTGGACCTCTGGCATGAATTTTGTTGGTACTAATTCCGACCTCAGTTCCAAAACCATATCTGAACCCATCGGCGAAACGGGTCGAGCAATTCCAGTAAACACCAGCAGAATCAATGGCTTTCATGAATGTCTCAGCAGTAGCCTTATTTTCAGTAATAATACTCTCTGTATGTTTTGACGAGTGCTCATTGATATGACTGATGGCATCAGCTGCAGAAGCAACTGATTTCACAGAAATATCGAACGATAAATATTCTTTATCAAATGCATCATCTGTTGCGTCCTTAATTAAATCTTGATCTGGGTTTGTAAGCTTCGATTTGATCTCTGGAACAACATGTGAAGTTACTTTGGCACTAATCAACGAATTTATGATTTTATTCAACTTTTCGCTGTCATTTGCGATATCTTGATGAATCAAAAGTTGTTCAACTGCATTACAACCAGCTGGGTAATTGGTCTTAGAGTCCACCAATACCCTTGTAGCCTTATCCAAATCAGCCTCCTTGTCAATATATATAGAACAAATACCGTCGGCATGGCCCAAAACTGGAATCTTTGTGTTTGATTTAATATTACGAACCAACTCGTTTGAACCTCTTGGAATAACTAAATCAATATATTTATCCTGCAGTAATAAATCACCAACTTCTTCTCGAGATTGAATCAATTGAATCGCAGGTCCTGGAACATCCGTCTCCTTATCTAAGGTAGTATTGACGATATCACTCATCACTTTAAAGGTTTGGTACGACTCTTTCCCGCCCTTTAATATAGCTGCATTACCAGATTTAATAGCTAATGCAGTGATATTAGCAATAACTTCTGGTCTTGATTCAAAAATAATCAATAAAACACCAATAGGTGCTGAGACTCTATATAAGTTCAAACCTTCGTCAATCTTTTTGGCCAAAGTACATTTTCCAACTGGATCTGGTAACTGAGCAACGTCCAAAATCCCTTGTAACATAGTGTCAAACTTTCCACTGTTAGATAAATCTAATCTTTTAATCAAAGATGAAGATAAGCTGCCCTTAACAGCATTATCCATATCAATCTTATTGGCTTCAATAATTTGTTCCTTGCTTTTCTGTAAGGCATCATGGATCTTCTGTAACGCTGAAGACCTTTGCTCATTAGATAATGTTTTTAAGAGAGAGAATGCATTGTTAGCATCCTTTGCAATAGATTCTGCCATGTCAACTTTCAGCCTATAATTTCTTCTTTCTTTCCGATACTATGCTTCATCATCTAAGTGAGTCAAATGTTACGAAGAGATATTTACGCACGTGATTGATCTGAGCCCGATAAATTTTGGTAACGTATTTACTTCTAGTTCTGGCATGCTAGTCTTAGCATAAGTCTGATTTAATCATACCAGTAAGGCATAAGCATAACCTATTAAGTCAATTAGCGAATTGGATTGAGTTTCAAGTGAAGTATAAGTTAATTTGAAGCTTGAACATGTCGTATTTCAATGATAGGAATAAAGATGATAATAGAATGAACAACACGAATGGTAATCATACAAGTCCATTTTCCGAACCAGAAAACCTTATAGATTTGGATTTGGATACTAGAAACAGCTACAATACAAACGTTGAGAATAGTCCTTATAGTCACGTAACGTCTCAGCAACAACATGCTCAGCCTGGTAATCCTTTCGAAGACAACTTCATCATATCAGATGACGAAATAGAAGGAGATGATACGTTTGAATCACTAGGACATGGTTCAAGTAGTCAGCGTAAGGTCCCATTATTGAGTACGGCCAATGATAAACCACAACAAAGGTCGGGATTATTTGGTGGATTACTTCCAAATAGGAATGACGAATACGTGGGAATGGAAAATGAGCCGGAAGAAAGACAATTTAAAGATAATAACTTGAATGATGGACTGTCAGATTTTGATATCCGCAAGATTTATCGTAAGACAAAGGCTAAATTTTCTCGATCTAATGCTGGAGCCGAAGATACAACTGCGATTCATAAGGGACCAAGACAAGTATACATCATGAACCATACCTTAAATTCTTCATATGGATACTATGGGAACCACATATCTACAACAAAATATAATTTTGCCACATTTATACCAAAGTTTTTATTTGAACAGTTTAGTAAGTATGCTAATTTGTTTTTCCTCTTCACATCTATTATTCAACAGGTTCCAAATGTATCACCAACAAACAGATATACCACTATTGGTACATTAACAATCGTTTTATTAGTCTCAGCTATTAAAGAAATCATGGAAGATTTGAAAAGAGCTGGTGCAGATAAAGAACTAAATAATACAAAGGTTTTGGTCTTAGATCCAAACTCGGGTGCCTTCAATTCTAAGAAATGGATTCAAGTCAAGGTAGGTGATGTAGTAAAGGTTAATAATGAGGAACCATTTCCAGCAGATTTATTGTTGGTTAGTTCTTCAGAACCGGAAGGTTTGTGTTATATTGAAACTGCCAATCTCGATGGTGAAACAAATTTGAAGATTAAACAAGCCAAGTCTGAGACATCGTACTTAGTAAATCCTAGAGATTTAGTGAGTGATTTATCAAGATCAGAAATATTGTCTGAACAACCGAACTCTTCATTATATACCTACGAAGGAAATTTGAAAAATTTTGCCTCAGTAGGTGATATCCCGTTAAGTCCAGATCAATTATTATTAAGAGGTGCTACTTTAAGAAATACTCAATGGATTCACGGAGTTGTAGTATTTACTGGCCATGAAACTAAGTTGATGCGTAATGCTACAGCAGCTCCAATTAAGAGCACAGACGTTGAAAGAATTATCAATTTGCAGATTATTGCCTTATTTTCTATATTGATCTTTTTGTCATTTGTGTCGTCCATTGGAAATGTAATTAAAATTAGTGTGGATAGTAAAGAGTTGGGTTATTTGATGCTTGGTGGCACTAATAAGGCTTCGTTGTTTTTTAAAAATCTCTTAACTTACTGCATTTTGTTTTCTAATTTGGTCCCTATATCTATGTTTGTTACAGTAGAAATTATAAAATTCTACCAAGCATATATGATAGGTAGTGATCTTGATATGTATTATGCTGAAACTGATACCCCTACGGGTGTAAGAACATCATCATTGGTAGAAGAATTAGGTCAAATTGATTACATATTTAGTGATAAAACAGGAACATTAACCAGAAACATTATGGAATTTAAATGCTGCTCAATAGGTGGTAAATGCTATACAGAGGAAATTACAGAAGATAATCAAGTACAATCACACGATGGCATTGAAGTTGGTTATTACAGTTTCGATAACTTGCATGAGCATTTGAAAGATACTTCCCTGCAGCAATCAGCCATAATCAATGAGTTTTTTACGTTATTGAGTGCCTGTCATACTGTTATTCCAGAAACAAATGACGTAGATGACACTATCAAATATCAAGCTGCATCCCCTGATGAAGGTGCATTAGTACAAGGAGCTGCTGACTTGGGTTATAAGTTCACGATTCGTAAGCCTAAGGGTATATCAATTAGAAATACTTTAACCGGAGTTGATTCTGAGTATGAGTTGTTAAATATTTGCGAATTTAACTCAACTCGGAAGAGGATGTCTGCGATTTTCAGGTGTCCGGATGGCGTTATTCGTTTATTTTGTAAAGGAGCTGATACTGTTATTTTAGAAAGATTATCAGATGATGGCCGTCCATTCGTCGATGCTACCTTGGCTCACTTAGAAAGTTTTGCAGCTGAAGGCTTAAGAACGTTATGTATTGCCTCAAAAATTATATCAGAAGAGCAATATAAATCTTGGTCTACTAGATATTACGAGGCTTCAACCTCCTTAGAGAATAGGTCTGAGAAATTGGATGATATTGCGGAAGTAATTGAAAATGACTTATTTTTGTTGGGTGCAACAGCCATTGAAGATAAACTACAAGATGGCGTCCCTGAAACAATTCACACATTACAGAGTGCAGGTATTAAAATTTGGGTTCTTACAGGTGATAGACAGGAAACTGCTATTAACATTGGTATGTCCTGCAAATTGTTAAGTGAAGATATGAATTTATTAATAATCAATGAAGAAACCAAAAATGACACTAAATTAAATTTACAAGAAAAGATATCAGCTATTCAGGAACATCAATATGATATGGAAGATGATACTTTGGAATCTTCGTTAGCTTTAGTTATCGATGGACATTCCTTAACATATGCTTTGGAGCCTGAATTAGAAGATATGTTTATTCAATTAGGTTCTCTCTGTAAGGCAGTTATCTGTTGTCGTGTCTCACCATTGCAGAAGGCACTTGTTGTAAAAATGGTTAAAAGAAAGAAGAAAGATTCTTTGCTCCTAGCCATCGGTGATGGTGCTAATGATGTATCAATGATTCAAGCTGCTCACGTTGGTGTGGGTATTAGTGGTCAAGAAGGTATGCAAGCAGCCAGAAGTGCAGATGTTTCTATTGGACAATTCAAGTACTTGAAAAAATTATTATTAGTTCACGGTGCTTGGTCCTATCAACGTATTTCGAATGCAATTCTTTATTCCTTCTACAAGAATGTTACTCTATACATGACTCAGTTTTGGTTCGTTTTTGCGAACTGTTTTTCAGGTCAATCAATCATTGAATCGTGGACTTTAACTTTCTATAATGTCTTTTTCACTGTATTTCCACCATTTGTAATGGGTGTTTTTGATCAGTTTGTTAATGCAAGATTATTGGATCGTTACCCTCAATTATATCAATTAGGACAGAAAAAAAAATTCTTCAACGTATCAATCTTCTGGGGTTGGATTGCTAACGGATTCTATCACTCAGCTATTATATTCTTGTGTTCAATATTTATTTATCAACACGGTGATCAATTGAGCAATGGATTGGTTGCCAATAATTGGACCTGGGGGACAGCTGTTTTTACCACATGTACTTTGACTGCATTAGGGAAAGCTGCGTTGGTTGTCACCATGTGGACTAAGTATACTTTACTTGCAATCCCTGGATCTTTCCTTTTATGGATAGGCATTTTCCCAGCATACGCGACTGTCGCTCCTATGATTAATGTTTCTCAAGAATACCGTGGTGTGTTGAAAGCGACATATCCATCCCTTACCTTTTGGAGTATGGTTTTTGGCGTTTCAGTATTATGCCTTCTTAGAGATTTTGCGTGGAAATTTTTCAAAAGAAGCTATAGCCCTGAAAGTTACCACTATGTTCAAGAAATACAAAAATACAACATTCAAGATTATAGACCAAGGATGGAACAGTTTCAAAAGGCTATTAGAAAGGTGAGACAAGTTCAAAGAATAAAGAAACAGAGAGGTTTTGCATTTTCTCAAGTTGACAACCAGAATCAAGAAAAAATTGTTAGATTATATGATACAACCAAAAAGAGAGGTGTTTTTGGTGAATTATCAGAAGGTAACTAAGTTATATAGGATCAACTTCAGAACATTATAGGATTATTTTAATCATTAATTTGTAATAAAACTACATCATGATTCATATTTGTGTATGCACGACTTTTAGCATCGACTTTAAATTTTTGTATCATGGTATCAACTGCTATTATTTCTCTGTATGAAGACGATATATTAGGGTACCATCTGTAATGAGCGAACAACCAGCGTCTGATAAGCTGCAATCAGCGGAAAAGGTGACACCTGATGCATCTGCTACTGTCCCGGCTGGGGAAAAACAACTATCAAATAAAGAGTTGAAAGAATTAAAGAAGAAAGAGAAGGCAGCCAAAAGAGCTGCTCAAAAGGAAGCAAGTGGTATCACTCCCGAACAGCAAGACCAATTGGCACAACAAAAAATGGAAAGGAAGAAACAGCAACAAACTGCTACGAATACAAATTTAAAGAAACAATTGAATCAAACATTGATTAAAGATGCCAGCGCTAAAAAGAAAATTCCAGCCTTGTTCAGTCATTTGGAAACTAGGGAACAAAGAAATGCATCTTCGCCATCGATCTCTCATATTGTGCATCCAGCGATATTATCATTAACTTTGAAATACTCCAACTATAAAATTGTGGGATCTATTTCAAGATTGAGAAATATGTTAGAAACTTTCAAGGTAGTTATAAGCGACTATCAAACACCACCAAATACAACTTTAACTAGACACTTGACAGGTCATTTATCTCATCAAATTGAATATTTGAAGACAGCACGTCCATTATCTGTATCCATGGGAAATGCAATTAGATTGTTGAAGCAAGAAATTTCCCATATCTCGATTGATACCACAGAGCAGCAGGCAAAGGAAATATTAAATCAAAGAATTGACGATCTTATCAAGGAAAAAATTGACTTATCTGATATGCTCATAATCGAAAATGCATCAAAGCATGTCACAAATGGCTCCACCATTTTAACTTTCGGACATTCACATGTATTAGAAAACTTGTTTAAGTACTGTGTTAATCAACAAAACAAGAAATTTAACTTAATAATTGTTGATTCTAGGCCGCTATTCGAAGGAAAGAATTTGTTAACTAACCTAGTAAATACGAACTATTCACCTAATATAGAGGAAGCCAACAACTCTGATGCAGAGTCTGCAACTAGGAAGATCTACAAGCTGAAGCCTATTACGCAGGATCATCTTAAAGTACAGTATGTTTTGATCAACTCATTATCATCTACCATACTAGAAGACGTTGATTGCGTATTTTTGGGTGCACACGCGATGTTATCTAATGGTCGTCTCTTTTCTCGTGTTGGTACTGGTTTAATTGCCATGATGTGCCACACAAGAAACATTCCGGTATTGGCCTTTTGTGAGTCTATTAAGTTTTCAGATAAAGTTCAGTTAGACTCTGTTACAACTAATGAATTGGCGGATAGTGGAGACTTGATACAGGACATCGGTTCAAAGAAACCGCCACAGAAGAAATCATTTGCTTTGGAGCAATTTATAAAACAGTGTGAAGAAGAAAAAACTAAAGCCACCAACAATTTGAACAATAAAAATAAGCAGCAAAAACAAAAGAATAGTAATACCGATGAAGAAATATCTGGAAAAGATACAAATGAATCTCTTTTGAAGAACTGGCAGGATATTGATAATTTGAATATTTTGAATATTATGTATGATTTAACTCCTCCGGAATATATAAAGAAAGTTGTCACTGAGTTAGGTGCTTTACCGCCTTCATCAGTTCCTGTCATTTTAAGAGAATACAAAAGTGCTTAAATAGTTTGAATAGATATATATATATAGTACTTATTGAAAGCTGTACAATCTAGAAGATAATGTAACGATCTGTAAACATTCGCGCTCGATCTGTATTTGATCTTTTTTGCCATCCAGTATGATTTCTCTTTAGACATATGAGAAAGATTAGCTGACATATAAGTAGATTGTTTTGAATAATAGATTCTAATAATATAGATTAATACCCACAATGTCAGAAAGCGAATTGACCTTGATAAATAAGGTTGAGCTTCGTATAGCACTAGCAGAAGATGACAAGAAATTCGAGGAAACATTAAAATTATATCTAGCTCCGTTACTCTTGAAATTGGGTAGTCCTTATACTGAAGTAAGACAAGCCATATTGAAGATAATCCAGTACCTAATTCCTCGAATTTCTGCAGCAAGAACTATTAAATTACCTGTTAATGCATTATTGGACCAAGTCAAAAACCCAAAGCTACCAGCTGGAGAGGGTCCTCCTCTAGTACGATTGTATTCGTTATTACTTATATCAAGGTCTATTGAGAGGTTGTCTCCCGAGGAAAAGAAGGATTTGGTACCAAAAGTTATTGAAAATATAAGCACGTATCCTACAAGTGTAACTTCAAGGTTATTTAATGTATTTTGCAAACTTTTAGATTGTTGGAAAGTTCCAGAAAGAGATTCAAAAGAATACAGTGAAATGAACATATTTTTACGTTTTGATAAACATCCTCAGGATGAAGAGTTTCTTTCCAGAGCGATAAGTAAATTTCTATTATTGCAGCCCAACTCAACTACTAACCCACTTCAATCTCCTGGTTTAAGTACAGCAGATACGGCTTTTTTTACGCAAGATGCTGGTGTATCCTACAAGTCATCACAGGAAATATATGCGGTCAAGTTACGTTTATTAGAATTTCTAAAATCTGGTTTTCAATCGATAAATATGGCTATTCCCTTGTTGATTGCGTCTTGTGATTCATCATCTTCAATCAGTGACCCATCAGAAATTCTTTTCAGAAAGCTTGACATAAATCTTGAAGATTCTTCATTTATTAATTCATTAGTAGAGTTATTTCTCGGCTCATCTGCAACATTTACTCCCCCTGTTGGACCTGTATTACAGGAAAGAATTCTATCTATATTACTCAAAAGCCAGTATGCAGCTAAGCATTCGGATATATCAAAACTATCTAGTGTTGCATTAGCATCTGATTATTCTAAGTTGAAAAGGACGGCTGTCCATTTTATAAAATGGGTAAGTAAAAATAATGCTGAGAACGAAAGCCTTGAATCAGTTAAAGAATTTAATATTGACATGGCGGCTCAACTCAGGAGTAATTTAATGGGCGAAGGCTGGCCTCGAATAGATATGGCCGGCGTCAGAAACTATTCTTCCGCTATTAATCAACGGCTGTTACAATACGAAGCATTGGGGAATATTTTAAAATCTAACCCTGAGTTGATTTTGGAAGATTTCACATACTTTGAATTTTTATTTCAGTCACTTGAGGGAGAGGAATCTGATTTAAGATCGGCCATTCAAGATGCACTCTCTGGGTTGACTATTCACTTACCAAAAATTTCTACAATCTCAAAAAATAAGCTCAAAGCTTTGGCTAAAAAGTATCTCAGTGAAGATAAAATTGAATTAAAAGAAAATTTACATTCCTGTCGATATATTGCAATAAAATACATAAATTGTGCTTTCCCGTTTAGCGATTCAGAAGCGAGAGTTTTATGCATTTTTGGAACGTCGAAGGATAATAGACCAGATACTATTGAAGAAGCACAAAGAGGTCTTCACCCATATTGGTTCAATATTTTGCAATCTTCCAATACACTTGAATTTAGAGCGACTTCTGATTTACTAGGTAGTAACTCTAAGGCGGAATTTCCATCCTTTTCTGACATTGTTTTTACATTGAAAGCAGAATTAAATACCGCCGAAGATCAAAAAAATTCTACATTGTTTGGTTGTATGGCATGTGGTATTCAATTTATTCTCCACACGTTGGTTATGCAGTCAATTTCTAGTAAGTCTACAGTCGTTGTACCAGATGAAGAGTGGTTAGTGAGAATTGACAAGGCTATTGATGTCGATCGAACCGTTATTGATTGTTTGATAAAAGAGATTAGATTGGTTTCTCAAGAAGACTCTACAATGGATAATAATTCTAAGTCTTATGAAAGCTCTTTCAGGGTATTTTTATCAATCATATTTGATTGTTTTATTGGCCAATATAGAAATAATAATAAAATTTTATCCAATATTACTTACGGTACCATATTTACGAAATTAATATCATTATCTCCTTCAAGCGTTATTGAAAAGCTGGCTCCATTTATATCTGATTTATTACTGATATCAAACGATCGATCTTTGAATGAATCTTCATCCATACAGATTGCCAAATCAATCGGTGTTATTGCAAGTCATCCAATTAATGACAATTTGGGAATTAATAACTTACTCAATAACCTAGTAATAGAGGACTTGCAGAGTCCGCCTTTGAAGAGCAAATTACTTATTGCTGCTTATGTGTTGTCTAGACTAGCTCTCCGTAAAAGAATCGAGTTTATTGATTCTGAATTGCTAGTTGCATTTTGTGATAAGCTTTTGGATGCGCTTCAAAATCTGAATACTTATAGCATTAGCTTAGAATGTGTTTCGCAAATAGCAATATTTGGTGTCTTGGGCCCAGAGCTTGAAGTTGACGTCAGAGTTAAAACATTCGTGAGCAAATTCGTTGAAGAAATTAAACCAAGGGTCAAAAAGTGTGATGAGAGGTCTGTTTTGACGTTATCTCATCTTGCCATGGCTTGTAATGATGCAACTGATACAAAAAAACTTAACGAATATGAAAAATTGGTGTATGATACTCATGTTTCCAAACAAATTGAATATGTATTTACAAGTGGAGAAGCTTTTACTATTCTCGCAGCTGGATGGGATTCTAAAGTTCTTGAAAGACAAATGGATATTCAAGATGAGTCCATAGAGTATATCCCATCGAATACTTTAAGGCTTCCATTAATTTTGAAAGTTACATTAGAGTCCTGTAATAATACTAAACCTTCTTTGAGAAAAGCAGGATGTATCTGGTTGTTGTCTTTAGTTCAATACTGTGGTCATCTCAGCGATATTAAAGACCGTGCTACAGAGATTCATCTCACGTTCATGAGATTTTTAGCTGATAGAGATGAACTAGTTCAAGAATCGGCATCCCGTGGTTTAAGTATTGTTTATGAAATGGGAGATCATAATTTAAAAGACACCTTAGTACGTGGCTTGTTAAAATCGTTCACTGATTCTAATTCATCGACATTAGCAGCAGGTTCGGTTGGCCATGAAACTGAGTTATTTGAACCTGATTTATTGAAGACAAATGATGGTTCGGTATCAACATATAAAGATGTTTTGAATTTGGCATCTGATGTTGGTGATCCTAGTTTAGTTTATAAATTTATGTCCTTAGCAAAATCTTCTGCATTATGGTCTTCAAGGAAGGGAATGGCTTTTGGTTTGGGATCAATTTTATCTAAATCTAGTCTTGATGAATTAATTTCGTCTAACAAGGGCCTAGCTAATAAGTTGATTCCTAAATTATACAGGTACAGGTACGATCCGAACTCTTCTGTTTCCAAATCAATGAATGACATATGGAATGCATTGATTAAAGATTCTTCGAAAACAGTTAACGATAATTTTGATTTAATTTTAAATGAATTATTGAAAGAAATGGGTAATAAGGAATGGCGTGTTCGACAAGCAAGCACTGCTGCGCTCAACGATTTATTGCAAACTGTCCCTTTGGAAGCATATGAAGAAAGTATTGAGCAAATTTGGGGTATGAGCTTTAGAGCAATGGATGATATAAAGGAAAGTGTCCGTAAGGAAGGGTCTGGCTTGACAAGGTCATTAGCAACAACATTGACAAGAACAGCCGATGTTAAATCTGGCGTATCTACTAATAAAGCAAAGAAAGTTCTTACTAATTTGATACCATTCTTGTTAGGTTCTAAGGGTTTACTTTCAGACGCTGAAGATATTAAGAAGTTTGCATTAGATACGATATTAAAATTATGTAAAGTGGGAGGATCGGCAATCAAGCCATTTATACCAAACTTGCTTGACAATTTTATTAATCTTATGTCATCTTTGGAGCCTGAGGCAGTTAATTATCTTGTATTGAATGCAGATAAATATAACATGAAAAGTAATGATATTGATGCTCAAAGATTACAGAGTCTCGGGCATTCACCAATGATGGATGCTATTGAAAAATTATTAGACTCGCTAGATGATTCTTTAATGCCAGGTACAGTGCAAATCTTACAACAATCAATTAAAAGATCAATAGGCTTACCATCAAAAGTATGTGGTAGTAGGGTTTTAGTAAGTTTAGTTATTAAACATCTTGAGCTTGTTAAGCCCTACGGTGACCAGTTATTGAAGACATGTATTAATCAACTCGGTGACAAAAACGATACTATTGCATCATCTTATGCTACAGCTGCAGGATATTTGTGCCGAATTTCATCGATTGATAAAATTATTGAATACTCCAAAGTTTTACTGAAACTTTACTTTGAGAGCGATGATGATAGAAGTAGGGAGATTGCAGGTATTGGTAGTGAGAGTATGTCAAAGTATTCTGGTGATAAGTTTGAATTAGTTTTATCTGCATTTTTGCCTCTAGCATTTATTGGGAAGTATGATAGTGTAAAAAGTGTCAAAAAACCGTTTGAAAGAGAATGGATCGAAAGTACATCTGGTAATAACTCAATCAAGTTGTACATGAAAGAAATTTGTGACATCTGCGAAACCTATTTAACTTCTAATCAATATGGAATAAGAAAAACTATTGGGAAGGCTATAGTAGCTTTATGTGATTCTATTGAAGAAACTACGACCTTCCCCCAACAGATCATGAATGAATTATTCAATATTTTGATTGAAGCATGCAAAGGAAAATCCTGGTCCGGGAAAGAATTGGTATTAGAATCACTTGTGTCAATTTCCGTAAAATCCAAGTCGTTGATTAATAATGACAATGTATTATTCAACAAGCTAAACAAAGTGATTTTGACAGAAGCAAAGAGGAGAAATAAAGAATATCAAAAACACGCAGTTAAGCTAATGGGCAAGTATTTGAAGGAATTTCCGTCTGATGAGTTAGTAGAAACATATGTGGGCTTGATGACTGATTTGTTATCTGATGCTTATTATGAAGATTCAGACGACGAAATGGAAGATGAGAAGCCTGGTAAGATAATGGTTAAGTTGGAAGAGGACAGATTATTGTTCATTCAAAATTTATTCGACACAGTAGCCATGCCAATCAATAATAGTTTATGCAAATTAATGTTGAAAAGTTCAATCAACTTGTTCAAGTCAAAAATTGATGTTACGTGGAGATCAAAAGTTCAAATCAATCAGTGTCTTTTGAGTTTTATTAAAGACTTGATTAGCAATGACATAACCATTGATAATGAAGAAATGGAACTACTATATAGTAATTGGAAATTATTGGAAGGTGAGTGCTTGCAATCAAATAGCATTGAAAATGTAAAAATTCAATTCATAAGATTTAGCAGGATACTTATTATGTACTTCGAAAAGGTAAACGAAGTCAAGAAGGCTCAAAATCTTACAAGTTCTTTAACAGAATTTCGGAATACTGAAAATTCGGCAATTATTCAAAGTGAGTTATTAAAGGTTAACGATTAAACCTTCGGAATGCTTTCTCTCTACTTCATACCGATTATTTTCATAATTTTACTATAAACAATAAATAAGTAGAGGATTACGAATATCTAAATTATTTCGAACATTTAAACTACATAGAAATATACTTTATTTTAATCAATCATTAAATTATAATAAGATACTATTATATTTGTATAGTTGTTGATAAGATTACTAGGATTCAGTATCCAATCCCTTACTCTTTAATAATACCTCTGATTTAGCAATGAAATCTTTGGCGTACTCTTTAGTGAAACCTTTAGAACCCAAGACAGCTTGGCCTTTGTTATTAAACATCGCTCCACTATGATTCTCGATGTCTGGGCTTACAAATAGTGGTACAATTTTCTTTGCATAATCATCGGCACTTTGATTAAACCACCCGATAAGCGATTCAGCTACTGTGTGAAGTATACCATTGCCGAACAAATTGCTACGAATATTGGTTCTGATCAAACCAGGATTTAACCCGTAAAAACCAACATATTTATAACGTTCTGCCAGGTCAACAACGAGTGCTTCATTACCAGCAACCGTGTTCATATGTGCTTGCATCGTACCATAGCTTTTCTCTTGATTGAGATTATCAATAGTCCCAAGCTGATCATTCCCTGGAAAGCCCATGATAAAAATTCTTTTATTAAATCCTAGCTCACTCTTGGATTTCTCGAATGTAGGAGCAATCGTTCGTATCATTGCTAGACGATTTAAATAACTAACAGCCATATCACGCTCTAGTCCTTCTCCAGTCTCTTCTCGTTTTGAAGAAGCAAAGATACCAGCAGTGAAAATAGCAATATCTAATTTATCTTGTGGAAGTTCCTTTGCAATTCGCTTTGCTTCGGCGATAGAACTGAGGTCACCCTTTATAAAATTAATCCCCTTGACATCACTATCTCTAAAAGTTTGTCCAACAACAAAGACATTAGCTCCACTCAAAGCCAAAAGACGACTGATGGCACGACCAATTCCCCCAGTACCACCAATAACGGCAACATTTAAAGGTTTGAAATCAATTGTATTGGGATCTTGATACTTCCACTGTACGCTATTATCTACTTTCATTATATCTTGTTAGACACTTACTTTCAAGATTCATGAATAGGAATAATTACCCTACTTATAGTTCAGCTTAATATTGCTCACTAATAGCGTCGATTTTTTGCATCCATTGCTGAGTAATAGGTTTTAACCAGCATTAAAATAAAAATACAGCGCTTGAATCTAATGCATATGGCAGAACGCTAAACAGAAGTTTATTATACTCTACTGGACCTGAAGCTTTGTAAGGATGATAGTTATTACTATCCTTCCATATATTTACTTCATGATAGAAAATTAACGACCTTCAATTTCAGATAAACTTACAAGAACAATTAATATACAGCAATAAAAAAATATATTAACTATATAACTTATTGA